AGTTCGTCTCTGAAATGCAGGATGATGCTAAGAAGGTGTTGAGAAGGAATTCCAGAGTTTGATATTCCAGCACCCAGTGGGGTTTTCCTGGTTTTTAAAGGATGTACAAATTCATTAGGGTGACGCTAGGAGTAGCCAGAGCAGAGAAACAATGGACACTTCCAGACTATCACTATTTTTGGGTAGAATTCAGTCACATACCACCAAAGCCAGGTTGTGCAATGGCAGCTTTATTTCAACAATTTTTAAATTTATTTTGACAATTTACATACCGCTGAATTACGATGGTCTCTAAGCAGTGAACAAGAAAGCCAATAGATAGGAAACTAAAAATCTGTTAAAGTGATGAATTCAGAATTAAAATGTCTGAAGGAATAAAGAAAAATCATCAGCAGGTACCAGCAGTTCAACAGTCAGGGGCCCTGTCTGACCTCATCTGGAAGGCAGTCCCATAAAATTGGGCTTGCAATACGGAGTGCACGGCTCCTGGTGGATAGAGCCACGCATCTGAGCCATGGGGGACCATTTACAGTGACCCCAGTGAAGACCTCAGTGACCAGGCAGAGATATAAGAGATCAGGCAGTCCCCTAGGGTATTGTAGATTGAAGCAACCTGTCCCCGTAGCATATGGGCAGCCTGTGCAATTGGAAGGCCTTGCACAACAAAGCTGCTTCCCCAAAAGAAGATCAAATATTTTGCAATAAGGAAGGTGATGGGGAAATGAACTGGAAAGCATGGGACAGCATTTGTTTTGATGCAACGTTGTCTTACCTCCCTGCAAACAAGACCGAACAAATGCTCATTACGTAGCCAACATCGTCTAATCTCCCCGCAAACAAATCGAGATGAATGCTCAGTAAGCAGGTCGTCTGGAAGAGCCCAAAAAGAGTTTGAGGAAAGTACAGTGGTACCTCGGGTTACATACGCTTCAGGTTACATATGCTTCAGGTTACAGACTCCATTAACCCAGAAATAGTGCTTCAGGTTAAGAACTTTGCTCCAGGATGAGAACAGAAATCATGCTCCGGCGGCGCGGCAGCAGCAGGAGGCTCCATTAGGTAAAGTGGTGCTTCAGGTTAAGAACAGTTTCAGGTTAAGTACAGACCTCCGGAACGAATTAAGTACTTAACCCGAGGTACCACTGTATACAGGAATGTAGATGCAAGGCAAAGTGGCACAGCGACTTCTTGGCACCAGAGCTAAGCCTTCTTCTGGCTGGGCATTGGTTGGGGGCTTAGTTGCTATAACAGGAACAGGGCCGGTCCTAACATTAGGCGAGGTGGCCTTGTGAAGCAGCTGGTTTCAGGTGTGATGAAAGGCCATTGTTGTATTTTTGCTGCCAGGGTAGGCAGAGGTGCTTGTGGGATTTCCTGCCTCAGGCACCCAAATCTCTTGACTGGCTGCTATGCTCCTGGTCTTGAGAGGAGGGATGCAACTTGCTGCCCCACCTTGTGCAGCACTGGGTGGATGGGCAAGGACTGTCTTTCTTAAATGCTGTCTCCTTGCCCTTCTGACTTGCCTCTCGCAGCAGCCTTGAGACAAATGTGCATCTCTCTGAGCTCCATGCACAGAAATGCATTGCCAAGAGCTGCTTCCTGCTCTTGCTCACACTGGGAGTGACTGGCCTTATATAGAGATATCTACGATACTTTCATGTGTGCAGCCAACTTTCCCCAATAACTTATGATGGCATTTGGCTGAGTATCCAGCACAGGATTAATGCTGCCATTAAGTAAACCTGCCTTTACAACCTCCCCCACCAACTGAGAACGTCAATCAGCAGCTGAGATTTTTCTGTGCCCTGGATCCTTAACACTGTAACATGAATAAGAGCCCTTATTCACAATACACATATATTTTTAATATATTGGCTGATGCATCCTCCACTAAACTTCTACTTTCTCTTCTGGACTTCTAGACCTTTTCAAGCCCAAATCTCTATTTTAAAAGGGGGGGGGGGGAATCGGTCTTGTCTTCTTCATTTTCTCAATTCCATATCTTATACTACCCTCTGGTGTGCAGAATATGAATTACAGAAATCTCCAGTGAATTACTGAGTAGTCAAAGTATCACAGGATATTTGCTGGAGAAAACAAGCACAGCTACCCCTCTGAAATTTGAACCCAACAAACATTTATCAGTTGCAGGTATGTTTGATCTTAAAGGCCCAAGGGTGAAATGCCTCTGATGAGAACCTAATTTTTCTAGATTCTTAACTTTCAGAAGTAGTGAGATAAAATATTTTGCAGCTATAAATCATGAACACTTGTAGCTTATATATAAAATAATAAAGCATGCAATAGCAATTTTTAAAACGAGGGTTCAAAATTGGTTGTATCTTTAAAGGGGGCATGAAAATAAGTCAGAAGCCAAAGATATGTAATTTTGGATTTATTATTAGTAAGGGAGATAATCCATAAGGAAGCCAATGCACAAATTACACAAAAACATGACACACACACTTTTATATGACCGGTGTAGGAAGCAGCCATTCCCCCTAGAAACATAGCACTTAAATTTAGATGATCTGGTGGCTATCTCTTTTTATCCCACTGACCACGTGCAGTCTTTAAGATGTGCATAACTGCTCAGCCACCATCATTTTTGCAACAGAGAGACACTGCATCTGAGCTGTGCTTTTGGGGGGGTGGGTTGCACATGGCCACACTTGTGCCAGAAAATGGTGGGAGTGGTATCTTTCAAACCACCAACCAGGGCTTCCAAACCAGGGGTTCCTAGTGCTTTCCAATCATTGCACTTCCATTGTAAGCTGCAAGCATGCTATTGAGAAGTAGTGGTGACCCCTACTTTGCACATGGTGCACTTGCTCCTGGACCCACTAATCTGCAATAGTTATCAACCAATTACTAATATATATGGGAAGGCTATTGAGGGGGTCATGACACAGCAGCTGTAGATGCTCTTGGATGAAATTGATCATCCAGACCCATATCAGTGTGGCTTCAGATCTTGTTTCAGAACCCAATTGACCTTGGCTGTCCGAATAGATGGCCTTCATAAAGAGAGGGATAAGGGGAGCGCAACCTTGTTTCTTCTGCTTGATTTCTCTGTGGCTTTCAGTGCCATCACCCTGGGCATCTTCCAGGACTGGTTCTGCAAGGTGGGTGTCAGGAGCATTGTCATACAGTGGCTGTTGTCCTACCTGCCAAGTGGATTTCAAGGAGCAGTGATGGGGAGACACTCTTTAGGCCCCTGGCACCTGTGTTATGGGGTGTCACAGGGCACTGTGCTATTAATATCTATGTGAAGCTGCTGGATGTGGTCATGAAGGGAGTTGGAGCAAAGTGTCAGTCCAAAACTGGGAGGGGTGGCTAACACCCCAGAGGACAGGATCACACTTCAAAACGACCTTGACAGATTAGAGAACTGGGCCAAAACAAACAAGATGAACTTTAACAGGGAGAAATGTAAAGTATTGCACTTGGGCAAAAAAAATGAGAGGCACAAATACAAGATGGGTGACACCTGGCTTGAGAGCAGTACATGTGAAAAGGATCTAGGAGTCTTGGTTGACCACAAACTTGACATGAGCCAACAGTGTGACGCGGCAGCTAAAAAAGCCAATGCAATTCTGGGCTGCATCAATAGTATAGCATCTAGATCAAGGGAAGTAATAGTGCCACTGTATTCTGCTCTGGTCAGACCTCACCTGGAGTACTGTGTCCAGTTCTGGGCACCACAGTTCAAGAAGGACACTGACAAACTGGAACGTGTCCAGAGGAGGGCAACCCAAATGGTCAAAGGCCTGGAAACGATGCCTTATGAGGAATGGCTAAGGGAGCTGGGCATGTTTAGCCTGGAGAAGAGGAGGTTAAGGGGTTATATGATAGCCATGTTCAAATATATAAAAGGATGTCATATAGAGGAGGGAGAAAGGTTGTTTTCTGCTGCTCCAGAGAAGCGGACACAGAGCAATGGATCCAAACCACAAGAAAGAAGATTCCACCTAAACATTAGGAAGAACTTCCTGACAGTAAGAGCTGTTCGACAGTGGAATTTGCTGCCAAGGAGTGTGGTGGAGTCTCCTTCTTCGGAGGTCTTTAAGCAGAGGCTTGACAACCATATGTCAGGAGTGCTCTGATGGTGTTTCCTGCTTGGCAGGGGGTTGGATTCGATGGCCCTTGTGGTCTATTCCAACTCTATGATTCTATGATTCTACGCACAGTTCTATTTCACTACAACATATGAATCTGGAGGAGGTGTGCAGGCTGTGGACCAGTGTCTGTGTGCTGTGGTGAGCTGGCTGAGGGCAAATTAACTGAATCTGCAGGTGCTCCTGGATCCGTCTTTGTTACTTGAGGCACAGGCAACCGTGATGACTAGGAGTGACTTTTACCCACTTTGGTTGGTAAGACAGTTCCTGGACAAAGATAGCTTGGCCACTGTGGTCTTGGCATTGGGAGAACAGCCTTTACCAAAGGTGGCATGGGCTTTGAAGATGCTCAAACTCAGGAAAAAAAGGAGAAATATGCTAAGAGGAAGGCACGCTTGGCAAACCCTCACCATGATCAACTCCCACCTGGAAACCTATGTCCCCATTGTGGAAGGACGTGTGGATCCAGAATTGGCCTCCACAGTCACTTATGGACTCACTGTTAAGACCATGTTCATGGAAGACAATCTTACTTGGCTATGAGTGATTGCCAAAGAAGAAGACTACAATGCACTCTCTGTGAGGCTCAACCCAGAAGCTGCAGCTGGTGCAAAAAGCAGAGGCTAGATTGTTGACTGTGGTACCCCACTGAGGAAGCTGCACTGACTTCCAATATGCTAACCGAGCCTTAAGTTAAAGCCTTAAACAATTTGGGACCAGGTGACATATAAAGGACTGCCCTGTCTGCACTCCTCAGATGGGGCACTGCTGTAGGTATGGCACGGCCCAGGGAAATGCCTAGTTTATAACTGGGTTTTTCATGTTGTAGCTCCAGTCTCTTAGGAGCCAGCATGAGAAGCAGGTCAGCAATAAAAAACACTGGTGTGAGTGAAGTTAACTCTTTATTCAAAGAAACAAAACAGCTCAGCCCTAGTGGTCCCAGCAACCCATCCCAGTAAGTCTTGCCCCAGTGAGGCAGTTGTGAGAACCGCTCTCTAAGGCTCCTCTCCCAATTCCTTCCCAAGCAGCTTAAGGCTCATTGCTCCGCCCTCTTCAATTCTGTGTGTGTTTTGGGAGACTGGAGGGGAGCAGGTTGCAGCAGGAGGGGGAGACTGGTTGGTCACTGTGAGAACAGGATGCTGGGCTAGATGAGTTTTGGACAAGACAGGGCTCTTCTTATGCCATTCTGTTCTTATGGGCCAAAGAACTCACCTACATTTGCTGGTAGACACAAGTCAAGGGAGTCTAAGCTTCTCTCACTGTCCCCATTCCCCCAATCATCCTAATGGAAGCTTTCTTAGTGCATCTGCAGGTGAGACTGCTGTTCTTTTTGTGGTGGGGATGGAAAGGAGCATCTAGATTCTGCAGCATAAAGAGGTACAGGGGCAGCATCCTTAGGAAGATGTTAGTTTTGCTGGCCAGGTTATAGGGAATTAGTGGGAGTCTAGGTGCATATAGGAAATCCCGTTTGCAGCAATGTGTGTGGGTGAGCATGTGAATGGGAAGACACATCTGCAAACGTTGGCAAGTCTCCAGTTCTAACAATGTACTGTGTGTGGCTTGAGTGATGCTTTTGACACAATTTCACGTGGCAGGCTCATAAGCAAACTAGGGAAATCTGAGCTAGGCAGAAATACTGTGACTTACAAAACTGGTTGGAAAGTTACAGCTAAAAAAATAGTTTTTAAAAGAATCCAAATACTGTTTTCATTTTGCAGGTGTTGAAATGGCGGCTCAAGATATGCAGCAGCCTCTCAGCAAGGCTCCAGTCATTCCAGCTCATCAAACGAGTCTTCCTCCTCTTCCCCACGAGCCGAGTGTGTGATGGCCTTCATCCACCGCTGCTTCAGCTCCTCCGTCTCTGCCACCAACGTATAGACCTGCTTGGACTGCACCAGTTGGAAGATGTGACGGGTGTCGCTCTGGGGCATCTCTTTGACTTGGTAGCCCAGCAGGGGGATGGAAGTGTGAGCCTTGACGTCCTGGAAGGCAAGTGGGAAGAGAGGGGGGATGAGAGGCTCAAAAGGAAGCAATTCTAGATGTTCCAAAACTGACTCCACAAAACCAACCCAGAGCTGCTCCCTGTTTAACAAGGGGATTGTTGTCAACGTGAGCTGGTTTTGCAATGTTTAAGGACTAAAACTATGCATGGCATGCAGCTGCATGCATCTTCCCACTAATGTGGTTATTTCTTGGTTTTTACCAAAGGCAGCCTCAAGAGGCCGCTGTAATTTAAGCAGAGAAATAGCAGGGGAAGTGGTTGCTTAAGCCTTTCCTCTCTAGCCACTTTTGCACTCAAGGTTTCTCCCATCAGGAACTGCCAGAGGAAGAGCTGGGAGCCTCTGCTCCTGTTTATGGTGGGCCTGTGTACTGAGCACTCAGAACAGCAGCTTGGGATATCTTGGCAATTAAGTACCCTCAAGGGATGGGGAACCAGTGTGGCCCCTCCAGGTGTCGTTGGACTCCCACTCCCATCAGATGCAGCCCGCATGGCCAATGGCCAGGGATGATGGGAGTTGTAGTGTGGCAACATCTGAAAGGCCAAAGGTTAGCCACGCCCATTGTGAACCATCTGAGCTTCCATACAAGAACAAATTCTCAATAAGCCCACACATACCTGGGGTGCAGCGTAAATGTACAGCACAAGAGGGTCATCTCGTGGGATCACAAACCAGCCACGCATGCTCCCCTTTCCATTCTTATCCAACAGCTGCAGGAAACTGCACATCAGGCTCTGCCCCGATATTTCTGCAGACTCTTTCTGCCAATTAAACAAAAACACCACACCATTCCCTTAATGCTCTTTACCCCAGAGGCTCCTACTGGCTCCTGTGTCTACAGAATGCAATCTACAGAATAGAACACAACAAACAGTTCAGGGACTCAGCTGCACAGCTGCAGATAAAACGTTTTAAATGTGGTATAAAGTGCAATATACAAATGGGACACTAGATGGTGATAGCGAGCTATGCAAAATTCAAGGTGTTTTTCAAAACATTTTTCTAGAAAAGCATTTTCACAGTGTTTTTTATATGTGTGTAGATTCCCCTCTGGTCCTGGTTGCACCGGTGGATAAAACAGGCAGGGAGAATGACTGTTTTCACTCCTTTCTGGGTTATAATGTAAGGGTGGTACAGTGATTAGAGTGTTGGAGACGAGGGTTTGATTCCCCACTTGGCCATGAAGCTCACTGGGTGAGCTTGGGCCAGGCACTACCTGTCAGGGCTGGAGTCAGGCGTAGGTCATCAACAAAGCAATAACTCACTCTGGGCCAGTGAAGTAAACTCTTTATTCAAGTAAACAACCACAGCTCAGGCCTAGTGGTCACAGCAACTCTTTCTAGGAGGCCTTGCCCTGATGAAGCACTTGCAGGGACTGAAGGTCCCCACCTTCCCTGTGCCCACTAGGACTCCTCCTCTCCAGGGTCTTTCCCCCGCAGTCTCAGGCTGTGTCTGTGCACAACCACCCTCTGCTCTGCCCATCTCGTTTCTCTGAGAGTTCTAGGAGACAAGTGGGAAGGGGAGCTGGTTGCAGCCTGTCTCTACTCTTCCTCTTGACCACCCTCCCTCCAGCCTAAGCTTCAGCACCAGAGTGTGAACTGCTCTCTGCCATGGCTTCTTCACATTCACTAAATCCGGTCACCTCTCCTGCTGCTGACACCTCCTCCTCCAAGTCGTTTCCTGACTGGTGCCTCCCACCACTCTTTTTCATCCAGCCAGTCCATAATACTCCCTCTCAGCCTAACCTCCCTCACAGGCTTGTTGTGGGGAATAAAGGAGAAGAGGGAGAACTACGTAAGCCACACTGAGCTCCAGGGATTAAAAGGTGGGATGCAATAAATAAATGCATATAAATGCAATAAATAAATAATACATAGAAAACCTTCAGTGCCTTGAGTCAACAAAATAGGGGCTGGAGGTCTAGTCTATTGGTTTTTCCAATCTTCAGTACCATGGACAGAGTCCCTCTCACTCCCTTGTCCCCTGTCTTTCAGCTCCACTTCACACTTTTTCTGTGGCAACCAGGTTCCATCCCTATTTCCGGCAGTAAATATGTAGGGCGCAATGAGCAGATGCTTGTATGGAGCCATTATTTGCCAGGACACTCCAGTGTTTCGTCCCATTCCGTTAGGTGTAAGCATCTCCCCCTACTTACTTTACTTGCCTAATTTGAAGAACCTGAATGGACTGAAAGGAAGAAATCCAGCGCACAGGTGACCAAGCCATGGCTGAAGTGGAGGAAAAGCAGGAAATGGGGCAGGCAATTGACTGAGACAGAGAGGATGGAGACGTCTCAACTCTGCTTCCTCCTCACCTCCAGGATGCCTTTATGCCTTGCCTGCCGCTCGTTGGGCAACAAATGCCCCGTCAGGAAGATGTAGCACTCCACGCAGACACGCTTGGGTCCGCTCTTGTCGTATTGCAATTCGGCCTTGTACTCGGAGCACCGGCCACACACCACCTGCCTCCAGGAGAGGAACCAAAGGGTTGCTGCAGCATAGGTTCACAGAGGAAACCCCCATTCTTCTTTAAACAAGACCTGAACCAAAGCTGAACGTAGAACTAGAAGAGTTCAGCATCTGTCCCCACCACCACCAGCACCCAGATGCGGCTGGACCAAGCATGGTCACTCTTGAGATCAGTTCTCTGGACTGGCCCTAAACCAACATGGAGTCCCAAGGCCCTTCCATGTGGCTGCCCTAACCAAAGGAACTCGGAGGAGGTGTACTCACATAGCCGCAGGCCCGGCAGTGGTGCCTTCTGCGTGTGATCGCATTGAACGGGCCCTTGCAACGCATGCACATGGTCACCAGCTTGTCCCTGATCCACTGAGGAGCCCGCTTGCCCAACTCATCAAACTGGCAATGCTGGGGGTAAAAGAGACCATAAGAACATGAAGATATACCCTGGTGGATATGATCAAAGGGTGATCTAGTCTAGCATCCTGTTCTCCCAGTGGCCAACTAAGGTTCTATGCAAGTCAATGTTAGCAGGGCTGGCAACAGCATAATGGCAGGGGTGGATCTGCTGTCTGAAGCAAAATCCAAACTAATGCATGGACCGCCCCTGCCACAAGCAGAACCTGAGTGCAACAGTGCTTTCAGCAACTTATGATTCCCAGCAACTAGTATTTAGGGGTATATCGTCTCCTACAGTGGAGGTGGAACAGAGCCATTGTGGCTAGTAGTTGTTGGTAGGACTTCTCCTCCAGGAATTTGTCTAATCCTCTTTTAAAGCAATCCAGGACATCACTACGTCTTGTGGGAGCGAATTCCACAATTAAGCTATGTACTGTGTGAAGGGGGTTGGAATCAAAGAACCATTGAGATGGACTCTCTGGCAATGAAGGCAATTATGGCTACAGCTCACAGGGTCCAGGACACAGACAAGTATGAAGCCTCTTCCATATTGCTTAGTACCATTGCCAGAGCCTTGTTAGGTACCTCTTTCCTGCACATTCCACTCCTCTGTCTTATCCTCCAATCATCACACACTTTCCATTTCCCTGTTGCAGATTTCAGAATGGCCTTCCTATTAGGCAGGCATGTATTGTTTTTAGCACTGGCTCAAAACTTCTTTATTCCAGCAAGCCTACCTAGGCATGTCATTTTTGACAAAAGTGTTTTAATATTACCCATTTTATCTTACATTTTTCATGTAACTTTTTTTATATTTGTGCTTTATTTGTATTTGTATTTTTTTAAAAAAAAGACTGCATAAAGCAAGCTGCTTTTAGGTCTTTTGTTCTATTAAGTGTTCTATACATTTTGTGAAATAATTAAAATAATACAGGAAATGCTTTTAGAAGTGAGGTGGAGACAGGAGGAGGAATAGAGAAGTGGAATGGACCACCTCAGAGAGTAGTGGGCTGTCCTTCACAGAAGGTTTTGGATAGCCATCTCCCAGGGATTCTTTAGCTGTGGGTTCCTGCATTGCACAGGGTTGGACACCTCTACACTTCTATGATTCTATAATTCCGTGAGTGAGTACAGTCAGGAGGATTACAGTTAAATCTTGCATCTCGGCTTCCGGCCCTTGGATTGCCACCTTGAAGGTCCCACTGCTTTTCTCCTTCTTGTCAATGGCAGACTCAAAGGCCTGGAGAAGAAAAGCAGAAGTTGAAAGAAAGCTCTGAGGCTCAAGCCACACATGAAAGTGGTTGAAGCCACATCTGCCCCACTCACTTCTGAAATATGGGAATGGGGAGCTGGCAGTCAAGGGGTGCTAAGCTCTCCCCCTCCTCCCTGTCCCCATACCAAACGTTACCTACGGTACTTTTTTCCTCCCAACAAGTTCTTGTAATAATGATTTAAGATTTCATTGACTTTGTTAAAAAGGGCAAACACTTTGCCTTTCTCACGGGGCAGGACCTTGACGTAGGGTAAAGGGTAGAAGCATGGGTTACCTTTATCCAATCATTCAACTCTTCCTGGGACCTGCATAGAAAGAGAAGTCACCTGTTAGAGAAGAGTTGTCCTCATTGCTCTGCATGAGAATCAGAAAGGACAAAATTCCTACATCAGTTACCTGGTTTGCAGTTCTAGAGTTCGTTGCTTCCCTGATACAAGGAAAGCATAAGGAAACTGCACATCATTCAGCTCCCGAACCTGCAAGTCCAGATAAGCAAAACAATTAGCAATGATGTGGGTAAAAAAGTTGCTGCTGCTGTTTCTCTGCCATATTCCATTTACATCCATACTAAATGAGGAGACCCACTGAGATCAATGGACTTTAGTGACTTGGGTCTTTCAAGGGGTCTGCACCTCTCACTTAAGTAACTTGGGATTTCAGTGAGTCTACTCTGAGTAATGCAAGTGTTGGATATTCCTCTCCCACACACACACAAACAGTGAGTTTTATTTTTTCATGCTTTGTTCCGTGAGCTGTCCTGGTAATTTTTGGAAGTTGAAGGGGTGGGCTACAAACTTGAGTAAGTAAATAATCAACAAATCAAAGGCAAGCAAACACCTGAACCAATCCACATGCAAAAGTTTGGCAGGGAGGGGGAATGGGGACAGCTCACCTGAAGCATGCAAATATTTAAAAGTCCCAATATAGTCAGATATATGCCATACCCTTCCTCGGGTAGCAGTTATAAATATATGGGCCAGATTCAGCTAGCTGTTCCTGCAGGCGAAAGCCCACTCAAAGACTTCTGCTAGCACAAGGGGGCTTTCCTCTCTGCACACACAAACACCTCCAAATTGGCTGAGGGGGGTTCAGGAGAACACCCAGAACAGGGTGCAGGGAGAATAGAAGGAGTATTGTTCCTTCCAGCAAGCAGAAATGCTTGCACTGAGACTGTGATCTCTTTAGCACCACATTGCATTTCTCCCCTTATCATTTTTTTTCTACATATGCATATTTCAGGGGGGGTACTCTGCTTCCTGCTCTGCTTATTATATTTTTGTTTTATGTTTCTCCAGATGTGGCCATCCTGTGGAAAAATATGGGGCAGGGCCACCCCCCACCCCATGAGTATAATTAAAGGGAATAACCTGCGATGAAATTCTCTGACCTTCATGCCCTCCACATCGATCCGGCTGTGCACCTGAAACGCTGCGCCCACTTGGATGACTTTTGGCACACAGTACAGCAGCAAGTTATTGAACTGAGAGAGACAAGAGGTGGGGGAGAATAAAGCCTTGGTGGGAGGGGGGCACATCAAGTCTGAACAAAGAAGGGCCAAAAGAAGAGAGCAAATGTCAAATGAACCAGTCAATACAATACAGTGGTACCTCGGGTTAAGTACTTAATTCATTCCGGAGGTCCGTTCTTAACCTGAAACTGTTCTTAACTTGAAGCACCACTTCAGCTAATGGCGCCTCCTGCTGCCGCCGTGCTGCAGGAGAGGAGCACAATTTCTGTTCTCATCCTGAAGCAAAGTTCTTAACCCGAGGTAATATTTCTGAGTTAGCGGACTCTGTAACCTGAAGCGTATGTAACCTGAGGTACCACTGTAATGGTTTGTCTCGGTTAATCTCTCCCTCTGAAGACTAGAGACTTCAGAATATGAACCGGAATATTAATTGTTGCCACCAATGGGTCAAGAAAGAACCCAGCGCATGTATCACTTAGTGCTATGCCAGCCTTTAAATGCCCTCCAGATGTTCTGACCACCAACTTCCATCGGCTAATGAGGTACTTGGCTACTGCAGGAGGGGGGGCGATTTATTGCTGGCACACTTCTCATTCTCCCTGGTTGATTGAAAATCAGAATACAATTATCATTTGGATTATTCACTTCAGAGGCAGGAGGGCAATAGCCCTGCTCCACTGTTGCCCCCCCCCCAGCAGATGGTATTCATGAACATATCGCCTCTAAGCCTAGATGTTTCAAATAGCCACCATGCCCACAACTAGTGGCCACTGGGTAAATTATCCTCCATGAATTTGTCTCGTTCCCTTTTCAGCTCATCTGAGCTAACGTCCACCACCACATCTTGAGGCAGCAAATTCCAAAAATCATTTGGGTGAAGAAGTGCTTCCATGCCAATCAGTTTCATTGGCTGACTGTCTTCCTAGGTTCTAGCTTGAGCAGAGAGGGAGAGAAACTTCTCAATCTATTTTCTCCACACTGCACATAATTTTCAGTGCAATCCGGCGCATGCTTACTCTCAGAAGCAAGTCTCATTGCATCCAGTGAGGTTTACTCCCATGTGGATATGCGTAAGGCCACCGCCTTTATAAGCCTCTGGCACAGTCTCAGTCACCTCTGTCCAAATGAAAAAGTCTCAGGAGTTTTAAGCCTTTCTTTGTAGGGAATCAGATTCAAGGCTCTTATTATTTGCCCTTCCCTATACACTATAAGGGACGCGGGTGGCGCTGTGGGTAAAAGCCTCAGCGCCTAGGGCTTGCCGATCAAAAGGTCAGCGGTTCGAATCCCCGCGGCGGGGTGCGCTCCCGTTGCTTGGTCCCAGCGCCTGCCAACCTAGCAGTTCGAAAGCACCCCCGGGTGCAAGTAGATAAATAGGGACCGCTTACTGGCGGGAAGGTAAACGGCGTTCCGTGTGCGGTTCTGGCTTGCCAGAGCAGCGATGTCACGCTGGCCACATGACCTGGAAGTGTCTTCGGACAGCGCTGGCCCCCGGCCTCTTGAGTGAGATGGGCGCACAACCCTAGAGTCTGGCAAGACTGGCCCGTACGGGCAGGGGTACCTTTACCTTTACTATACACTATACACGCGGGTGGCGCTGTGGTCTAAACCACTGAGCCTCTTGGGCTTGCCAATCAGAAGGCTGGCGGTTTGAATCCCTGTGCCGGGGTGAGTTCCTGTTGTTTGGTCAAAGCTCCTTCCCACCTAGCAGTTCGAAAGCACATCAAAGTGCAAGTAGAGAAATAGGTACTGCTCCGGCAGGAAGGTAAACGGCGTTTCCGTGCACTGCTCTGGTTCGCCAGAAGCAGCTTAGTCATGCTGGCCACATGACCCGGAATCTGTCTGCGGACCAACGCCAGCTCCCTCGGCCAGTAAAGCGAGATGAGCGCCGCAACCCCAGAGTGGTCCACGACTGGATCTAATGGTCAGGGGTACCTTTACCTTTATACACTGTAGACATACCTTGCATATCTTTCCAAACTCCTAAATATTTCTTTCTTTCTTTTATCCAAACAGCAGCACAACTTCTCTGAGTTGTGTAAAAGAACACAGATGCCCAACAGCCATGTATTGCTATCTTCCCTTCCTGCCATCCCCCAACCTGATTAATCTCTTACCAAGAACAAGTATTTCTCTGTTGTGTTGTTGTGCCGGAATGAGATTTTCTGAATGGGTCCCTCTTTTATCAGCTCGTTGGAAGGGTCCACAATGTCGTCTTCAAGCCCCAGCCTGTGATACACCTCCCAAAGGTTCTGGAGTCGTTCCTGCAGGACCATCAGAATTAAGATGAACAAGACAGGGACCAAACAGCTCCGTTGCAAAGGTCTCTGGCTGCAAGGAGTCACTCGCATGAGGTCAGTGCACTCACCATTTCTGCAATGGCAGCATTGGAGTGTTTGGCTGCAGTGAAAATCATTTCCAGGGCTTCTGCAAAAACACCAGAGAAACATTAAACTCTCAGGGCTCTCTCACACAACACATTTGCACACCTGTATTCCTTGCTATGGCAGCACTGGAGGGGCGCTCTGTGCACCTTTGAGTATTTCCCCTTGTGCCCGCAGCCCCCATGATAAAATTACATTGGTGCCATGGACTGGTATTTTAATATGTGATAAGAATTAATCTAAAGAAGGAAATATGAAGATGGAGCGATCCTGGGTAACCAATAGGTGTGATCAGGTTTTTGAATATTGAATTGAATCGATTGCATAAATATCACCAGCCCCTTTGGATATATGATGTATGAATTAACTGGATGATTGTTCTCCTTGCTTACATATATAAAGGGAATGTAAAAGTAATTACATGTATATATGCATACGTACATCTAAATTTAATAAAAAAGATATAGGTGAACCAGGATCATATTTAGGAGGTGCAGGGAGTTTTCAAAACAATGACGTCAGTGACACATTGATGGACCTTCTATCTTTGTAGTTCTTAAAGCAACAGAAGTCCAGACCTGAATGGAATGCATGCAGTAATCTCATTGCCCGATCTCCAACACTTTCCCAAGGTTCTAGCAGTTGCCTGGCACTGAGCAGGAGAAGGGAGGCACAAGCCTAGCAGGGGAATTTCAAATCAGCCCTGGTATGAAAGCCTTAGAATCACTCAACTAGCAGGTACATGTGTGTCACTGCTAAAGGACAGTCTCCCCCAACAAAACAACTCCTCTGTCAACTTCCTTCTTTGCCCACATCACAGAATGGACCGAATGGAGCTCTTACTCTCTGCATCCTCCCTGTCCGGTGCCTCTGGAGGTAGCTTTCGTATGTAATCCTTCAGAAGGAGTTCATATCTAGGGATTCTCTGTACTGGCTCCAGCATATGATGCTGCAAGGTTAAGTTGGCTGAGATCTCCCGTCTCTGCTCAGGACAGTAACAATAGCAGAAAGAGAAAGCAGAAGCCATCATAGACATGAGTGTATAAACATTAAACTACAGATACTTGGCTGGCCTCACCACTTCACAAATCAAGATGACCATCTACCACAACCTTCACCAACACGGTGCTCTCCAAATGTTTTGGACTACACCTCCCATCAGCCCCTGGGCTGGTTGAGGCTGATGGGAGTTGTAAGCCAAACATCTGGAGGGCACCTCCTGGGTGAAGGCTTATCTATCATGTCCTGGTGGTATAACAGATGGAAGAAATTTCATGCTTTGGTTCAAGTCTTTCTACAGCACAGAGATGGAATGTTTGAGGTCCTGTGGAAGCAAGAAATTCCCAGCCACTGCAGCAGAAGGAGTCCAATGTCTCAGGAAGAACGTGAGACATGGGACCAATGCAATCTTTTGAGACCTGGAGTACAGGGCCCACCAAGAAGCACAGAAAGAACTACAGAGCCTATTATCCCAGCTGAGAGCAGCTGGCTAAACATTGGTGTAGAAGACATTAGTCACCAGGCTAGGCAAAATGAGTGAAGAAAGGCTAGTCTGGATGGAGAAGGCAGTGTCCTTCCAGTATTTTCTCAAGGAGAAGAAAATACCTAGGTTCCATGCTACATATACACATGTACACAGCCATGGTGTGGATGGCCTCCCTGATAGAAGCTACTCTGAGTTTTAAAAAAGGTTACTGTGCAATAAGCTCTGAGACCCTTTCTACAAGACCAAGTTCAAGGTGTTACTTTTAGTATTAACAGCTTGAGACCAGTTTACATGGAAGATCATCTGACTCCATATATGCCCTCTTGACTGCTCCAATCTGCAGAACTGGCACTACTACAGGTATCGCATAATACTCATTCTGCATTTGTAAGGAATTAATCTTTTAGAACCCACACTTCCAAACTCCCTGCCTATTGACATCAGGTAAGTGCCTTCGCTGTTCTTGTCAGAGCCTGCTAAAAACATTTTTCTTATATGTATATGCTTAATAAAAATTTAAAATAAAATAATAAAAATTAAAAATAAAAACATTTTTGTTCAGGGGAGCCTTCCCAGATATGTAGAATTTTGACATTCATTTTTATCAGGGTTTCTTTCTGGCTTAGCATTGATTTTAATTATGTTTTGAAGGTTTCAAATTGTTTTTTAATTGAGAATGACGTCCTTTCGTTATTTTTGTAAACCACTTCAATGTGTTCCCCTACCCCAAACAAGCAGTATAAACATTTTATGAAAGAATAGCAAAAGAATTTTCACCTGAATGCTTGAGATGAGTTCCTGGAATGGCAAGGACTTTTCGGACCACGTGGTGATCAGCTCGACTGCCTTGTCAAAGTTCTTCACGTATTCGCTATACATCTTCAGGAAAGGGGCTACCTTCTGGATGATGTCCCCAATCCTGGGATTGGAATCCCTGCAGGCAGAAGCCAAGAGAACAGGTCTGCTGTTGGCATCTCTAGAAAGGCAGCCAAAACGGTCCAGGGAAGATGCTTTGGGAACTGCCTGCCTGCCTCTATCCCTGGTCTCGATTGCAATGCCCAAGCATCGCTGGCACTGGTTTGTGACATTTGCAGGAGTCCCTGCTGGATGGTGCCCAGCTTCTACACAGTTTTAACAATACATCACAGCACAAACAATGCTGGCTGTCTCTGCTTATTAACATCTTCAGTAAAAAAGTAAAAAGCTAGGAAGTGAAATGATTGTCCTCATACGTCCTCCCATCACAGGAAGACAAACAGATACATGCGAGAAGTACTGCTGATTTAGTTCTTATTTATCTAAGATATTTCCTCATTGCCCTTGATCATATAATTGCAAGTCTTTGTTCTATAAAGGCAAATGTTTGCCAAAGTGCCCTCTGCAGACAAAGGAAGTATGTAATATCTATTGTTTCACACCAAGATTAGTCCTTTGTCAGATGGCACAACCTATAATAGAGATCTATTTCATGGTGGGACAAAGAATTAAGGTTTTAACTCAAAGTGACACTTCCACAGACCTCTTGTACAGTATCTTTTCAGATTCTAGACTTCAAATAATACAACAGTTGCTTTCAGTTGCATAAACCTTCACACACACACCTCACTTCCCTTTCCAGGAATGCAGTGGGGAAAGGGGTGTGGCTGGCATAACTCACCAGTTCTCCATACGTTTCTGCAGCTCTGGCAAGAAAAACTGAGCATGGAACTGGTAAATGGATGACATGTTGGAGAATATCATTTTCACCACCTCTTCTGGGAATGTTCTTCCACTCCTGGCTTCCTTCAGCAGCTCTGAGAAAAACACCTGGAACCCAGGGATGGACAAAGCTGTCAGTTTTGGTTTTTCTCGGTTGCTCGTTTTTCCAGCCTTAAGTTCAGTCGCCCACATTTCTGCATCAGCTTGTGATTTACTTACTTATTTATTTATTTCACACACACACACATGCACCACACACACACAAAGTAAGTCCTCCTGAAAATTCACCAGCTTTTTCATGCACTTTTATTTTAATATGCACAATTTCCCAAAGTGAAATTTCCCTTCACCTGTCCCTCTAGAGCAGAGGTTCCCAAACTTATTTGGTCTACCAACCCCATTTCAGGAAACAAAAACACCATTACCCAGCACCCCCTGTCAAGTAAACTACAGGCAATCCTCATTTTGCACCGGGGTTACATTCTGGACCCCCTGCACGCACCAGCGGAACCCGTGTAAAGCAGTCTGTCTAGCCCCCATTCCACTCTTTCAGTGACGTTTTAGGGATACTTCCGGATTCAGTGCCGACCTGTGCATGCATACGCAATCGTGCATCAATCAGAAGCACATAAATCTGTTGTCGCCTGTAACAAACCAACCTGATCCAGAAGGTGAAGGCGGCTGACATAGGCCTGCTCTGTTTGCAGGAGCTCCAACGCTATTTTTTTCTCTTCTGGCTCCTGTGTGTATAAAGAGAAACTGTTTGATCATGGGGAGCATTAAGCATGAGCCCAGTGGAGTAGATCCTGCTCTCCTGTCAGTGGGGGTACTGCAGATTAGTAGGGCTGGGTTCTCTAACTAAGGCTGTGTTTGTGTGTGTACACAATTATGAATATACATAGGAACATAGAAAGCTGCCTCATACAGGGTCCTGCCATGGGTCTATCTAGGTCAGTATTGTTTACAGTGACAGCCAGTGGCTCTCCAGGATGAGAAATAAGGGACATTTTCAGTCCGATCTGGAGATGCCAAGGACCAAAACTGGGACCTTCTGCATGCGCAGCAAGTCTTTTATCACTGAGTGATGGTCCTTTTTGTCTGTTTGTTTTATTTGTTCATCTTTAGGTTTTACTGAATTTTTTTCCTCATTTTTCATGAGATGAGTCAGGATTTCCTCTTTCTTTCTTTCTCGCTCTTTCTTTCTTTCTTTCTTTCTTTTTTTTTTTGGAAGCTATTTTTCTGTATCAGAAAACCTCTCATTACCGCTTTACTCGTGTCCCATACTATATCCAGCCCATACTATATCCAGTTTAAAATTCACAGCATGTACCACCTTAAAAGAGAATATAATGAAAATGATGTACCAATGGTAATTAACACCTGTTAAATTGGCAAAAATGTATAGGATGAGCTGTAAAGTATGTTGGAAATGTAAAGAGAAGGATGGAGATTTTTACCACATGTGGTGGACATGTGAGAAAATAAAACTATTCTGGGAATTGATTTATAACAAATTGAAAAAGATGTTCAAATATACTTTCCCAAAAAAGCCGGAAGCTTTTTTGCTAGGCTTGATGGGAGAGAAAATAGAAAAAGCAGACCAAAGGTTATTTATGTACGCTACGACTGCTGCTAGAACTTTGTTAGCCCAAAAATGGAAAGTACAGGAATTACCAACAGTGGAGGAGTGGCAGACGAGAATGGTGGATTACGCGGAACTAGCAAAACTGACCCACAGGATCCGAAACCAGGAGGAAACAAAATTCCAAAGAGATTGGAGTAAATTTATGGGTTATATAAATAATAACTGTAGAAACCTGAAGACACTAGCAGGACTGAAATAAATCTTATGACGTGGACTGGATAAAACAAGAAACTGCGAAAAGGAGACTGAAATAAGAAAACCTGTTGAAGGGAGGGAGGGAAGTAAGTGCTCGGCAGAGTGTTGGGTAAGGAAGTGGGTAGATGGTTGTTGAATATTACTGTATTTTGTTTGTTTGAAATGAAAAACCAATAAAAAGCATTAAAAAAGAAAAACAGGTGCAGGAGGAGGGAAAGATAAGTCAGGCAGGTGTAGAGTCGCGGGTGTGCCCACCCCCAGGGGTGGAGGTGTCTTTGGCCCAGTGGCGTAGCGTGGGTTGTCAGCACCCGGGGCAAGGCAAGTAATTTGCGCCCCCTAACCCGTGGATTTGCGCCCCCTAACCTGTGGATTTGCCCTAACCCCAGATGTTGCGCCCGGTGCGGCCGGCCCCCCCTGCACCCCCCACGCTACGCCACTGCTTTGGCCTCCTCAATATCTGCTGGCAGGGGGCCGAGACCCCTCAATATTGAGAGGGCAGAGGAGGCCAGCATGGTTCAGTGGTTGGCTCCTCCTGAGCTCGAGAGAGGAATTGTGCTGGGCTCCGAGATCAGCCTTCTCCTGACGATGCGATATCATGCATGCACCGCATTCATGACATCTCACACACACAATGCACCACACACACACCCCAATCTTGGGCACGATACAGCACCTCTGGCTGCCACACCTCCTCCTCCTGCCCCCACCTCTCGTGCTCCACTCTCTGCCAGGACCAGAAGAGGACTGGAGCAGAAGGAGCAGAAAACGGTTATGCGTAGACAAAGTCTGCACCTGCTTGGGGAGATACATCCGCTTCGGTTGTGGGTGGGGCCTCTCTGTTGCTGCAACTGCCTCGTTGGGCGCACACCTAGGAACAGCGGAGTGGGGTTGGGCTGATAGACATGCCGTTTCCTAAGTCTACTTTTGATAACAAAGAGATGATTCCTCACTCTAGACATTCCTTGCCTGACAGCACCAGTTGCCCAGAACATTGGCCCTACTCTACGTGATCTGTAACAACAACAACAACAACAGTAATCTGGTGGTTAATGACCTGGTTTTTGCTGCTGCTGGAGTCGGTCCTGAGGCTTGCCTGGAAGTCTGCATCTTGTGGAATCCTCCAGTTGCCTGCACTGATCTTGCCGCGGAAAGAGCTGAGACACTTGACTGTGAGCCCTCTGGGAGCCTCTCGTGGCTCCATCGCTGATTCTGCACGGCAGGGCATTTGGCTGTGCGGTACAGGCATTTGCTTGGCTTCGCTCATAGCTCTTCTGCTAGTCGCAGGTGGAAGCAGGTAGGACACCATGAGATTCGGCGCTCTCAAGCAGGGCCCAGACTGAGGAAGGATCTGCTCCTTGCTGGGACCCGGGCAAGCTCTAGCCACAGAAAAGACAAGCAGTTTTAGAATGACATTATTCAGCCCACTTCTGCAAAACACAGTGCACAGCCAAGCAGTCTGTGTGGTGAGATCCAAAGCAAAAGCAAAACATTCAGAGGCAACATGGGGACCAAACCATCAATATTTGCACCTCTCTGAGTTTTACAGTGCTGTTCTCCAGCACTAAGGGGCAGGAAATGTTCATGTCACTGAAAATTACATTCAAAATCACACTATAGTAGGGGAAATGTAAATAATAGGGAAAATACAGTGTGTTAAAATGTACGTGGGAGGCAAAATTGCCTTTCAAAAAAGAAAAATTAACACTGTAATGCTGGCGAGTTCTCATGAGGACTTTTTTGTAAAAATGTGGGGAACTGAACTTTAGTTTGGAAAAATGAGAAACTGAAACAAACTAGGACTGACAGTTTTACCCACATCTAAATACAGGCAGCTGTATCGTGACTGCCTATTTCCTCCTTCCCACCTAACCAGTAGCTGGGGGTGGGGGGTGGGTTAATTTACATCCAGAAAACAGAACTAAAATAAAAAATTAAGCAAAAAACAACAACAACCACGAGATCAGATCTCTAACCTCCCACATCCACATCATGATCTGTTTGGGCCCTTTGGAACAGGGACTTCTGAGACAGCAGCAAAAGCTCTCCGTCCTTAGTTACACAACAGCACCAGCAATTGTAGCTGAATAACTAAGATTGCAAGATCAAAGAAATTAATTGTATGAGTTTGAGTTGATTCATTGATTAATGCACTGTTTGCAAACATTTTTAATGCTGTCTTTGGGGTGGTTTTTGGTTTGTTTGGTTTTTGGATAATGCATGCATGTGTCACAGCAGGCATCAACTTAGAAGAGGCATACTATCATACCTGAGAGAAAAGGAGAAGTGCTTGCTATCTGCAGAGTTTTTTTTTCTTAAATAGTGGGTGAGATCTGCCTACCAGTGGAACAGGCTTCTTCTTGTGCAAACAGGCCATTCCTTTCCTCTCCTTCTCCTGCAGCTGACATGCACTCACAAAATTTGCTTCAGATGGTTGGGGAATGCATCAGAACAGATTTTTAGGGCAGCAAGCTGCAGGCAGGAGGTCAGAAAGAGGACATCCCACAACATAAGCAGAAGTCCACCCATGTGACATTGGATTTCATCATTTATTTTCAAAAATCTGCACCCAGTTAATCTAGGGCATTATTATTATTATTTTTGGTACCTACAAAAATCTTTAACAGTGCAACCCTACACCAGAAAGTAAGTCCTGTTGAGTTCACTTTCCCAGGTAAGTGGGTAAAAGGACTGCAGCCTAAATCACTAATCAGTTGATAAACATTGCAACCCTGAAAATAACACAATAGGCATGGGTGCATAATGGATACACAAAGGCTTTGCATCCATTGCATCCATCATGCCTACATATGTGAATAGTGTACCACTGGACACCAATTCATTGGCCCATGAGAAGCTACAAAAACCAAACAGTTTGCCTGTCTTCTCTTTCATAGAACTGCTTGTGCCTCTTGTAGACCAAAACATCATATGAAAGCTATGTACCTGCACATTAAGGGTCATGATGTAGTGCTTAGAACTGTGTTTCTCAAACTTGGGTCTCCAGCTGTTGTTGGACTACAACTCCCATCACCCTGACCACTGGTCCTACTGGCTAGGGATGATGGGAGTTGTAGTCCAGCAACAGCTGGAAACCCAAGCTTTGGAAACACCAGGAGTGTCGGACAGGGACTTGGGAGCCCAGGGTTCAAACCTCCACACAGCCATGAAGCTCACTGGGTGACTTTGGGCTAGTCACTGCCTCTCCACCTAACCTAACTCACAGGGTTGTTGTGTGGAGTAAATGAAGAGGGAGAGAACCACGCATGCCACCCGAAGCTCCTTGGAGAAAAAAGTTGGGATATAAATCAAATAAATAAATAATCCCAAGAACTGTAATTTACCCCTCACAGAGCTATTTGCCAAGGCCCTTAAAAGCTACAATTCCCAGGATCCTTGCAGTGGGGAGGGGATGTGCTTTAAAATGTATGATACACAAGCCCTAGAGCAGGGCTGAGGAAGTCTCTTTCGCATTTACATTGAGAGTAGCTACTGAGGGCTACATCCTTTTTTCTGTTCCACAATCAGCCGTCATTAAGCTTCCTCATGTATCCAAAAGTCAGCTTTTATTTCCTCTTCCGAAGCAATGTTTTGCCTTTCCAAAACAAGCCACAGCTCAAGATTAAAACCAGAAGCTGCAGTCTTGCTAAAGTGACAACCCCCTCTGGGCTGACATAGGGAATGGGCAAGTTAAGGGAAGGAGCTGGTAGAGTGTTTGCATGTTCCCCACCCAGAGACCACAGCGCATGTTGTGGGGCCAGAGAAGAAGGCAGATTCTGCCTGCTGCCCTCACCCTCCTGCCATCACACATTCAGCAGAAAGCCTGAAATGAGCCTTTGCAGGGCTATGGCTTTGTTGCACGGTGGGAACACCATTAGGGTGGCAGCTTGACTGAAAAACCTATGTGCCTTCTTTACAGCTGTCATTGCACAGAGGCGCTTTTCGGAATTTGTCCCCTGCACGCGGGAGGTCAGGGAGTGAGGCCAATGGGCAAAAGCCACCCTTCCCTCTGCACATCCCATAGAAGTGTGGAGAAGATCTGAAAAGGGCGATAGTTGCCAGGAGATAGCTAGCCACAACAGCGCTAAAAGCAGATACGCTGCGGGTGTAATATATCGTGGTGATTTAATTTCAGGGTGTATACTCAACAATATGGATCCAAGAGATTTTAGAGGCACTTCTCAAGGCAAGATGCCTGGCAACCTAGAGTGGTTGCTGACGGAGAAGTATGTGTGCTTGGATACAAAAGAAGCACAGGTACATATTAAATAACTGAGGGAATAAGCTCCTCTTTTCTAGTCTACTCCCTATGGAAATATGGGCTTCCTTAAGGTGAAAGCTTCCTTCAGTTTCCCCTTGATAGCTCAGTTGATGGAGCATGAGGTACTTAATTTGAGGGTTGCATTGGGCAAAAGATTCCTACATTGCAAAGGGTTAGACTAGATGACTCCTGTGGTCCCTTCTAGCACTACAATTCTATGATTCACTTGTGATTGAATGAAGTTTGTGCTTGGGAGGTTTTTTACACTTTGAAGAAAATATCACAGTAATATCACACGCATACATTAAAAAAGGTAGTCCTCTTCCCACTGGCACATTCCAAATTGCTTAGGGCCTATAAAAACACCACAGGAATTGTTAAGTTGTGGGTGAACATATCAGACGACACAGCGATTCTTCAACAGCTCTTGTTTATTCACAGGCCAGAACAGAACTGAACCGAAGGGTTCAGCCAGCCTGCTTATATAGAGCTCCACTACAACACAACAGTAACCACTTTCTGTAACTATCCAATCACTGAACGTCACTTTCAATCCCTTATTTGCATATGTGGACCTGAGTGAAAACTATCTACTGTATCCCCCTGCTGGCCCAAGGTGAGAACTTCAGTACATAACAGGAATCTTCCCTCTCCCTGCTGCCATCAGCACCTTCTCTCAGAGACACTTCTCCTGTTGTTCAGTTTACCTTGGAAGAAAGGTAAATGCAGCTCTGGAGCATTTGACCATTTCGTCTTGGGAGTTTCAAGGGTTCTACTTTACAAATTCAGCCCTTAAGAGTTCCACCAGGTCAAGCGCTTAGAAAATGAAGGTGACAGTCAAACTGTAGGGTGGGACTGGTATAATGAAGCCAAAGAACTGGAAGCAAGAGAGGCAGTGGGTACGTCATGTCCAAGAAAGCAGAGAAGCCCGCCGGAAACGCCAAAGCCATTTCTATCCCTGAACCTTTCCATGCAATCAAGACCATCCACAAACAATTCTGCTTCTGTTCCAGCTTTTGACTGCTCCTTTGTGAGACACAGATTGAGAGGGAGAATATAGTCTCCTCGCTCTGCGTCTACTAAGAAACAGGAACAGCAGCTTCAGTGTGCTAAGGAAGCACAGCAACAAACACAGTGAAGCATAATTTCCCTTGTTTCATTTGACACATGAGGAGAGGGAGACACGGAAGGGAAGGAAGCGTTGCACTGAGATCAGGCAACAAAACAGTGGCAGGAGAGCAGGGCTGCCCTTTTGCCAAGTCAGGCCATTGGTCCATCTAGCTCAGTGTTGCTGACACTGACTGGAAGCCGCTCTCCAGCGTTTCAGGCAGGAGTTCTTCCCAGCCCTACCTGAAGATGCCAAGGACTGAACCTGGAATCTCTGCAAGCAAAGCATATGCCATACCAGTGAGCTTCCCCGGGCCTTCCTACTTCCTACAACTGTAAGCTATGTGAAGCCAGGAAGATGGAAAGGAGGCTCAGTGAAGTCAGGGTGTGACTCCCATCAACTCTCAGGCCTATTTCACAAGGGGCGTTCACATATGCTTTTGTTTCGTAGTCCTTTGCATGGTGTGTGTGTATTCTCATATTTGCATGATGAAATCATGCCACTTTGCAATGTAATTCTAATGCTGAGGTATAATAGAAAAGAAGGATGCCAACTTAAAAAAAAAAGTGCAAAGCCACATCTGGACTTAGGATGCTGCAAAAAGACAACCAGGTGGCAGTCTTCATAAAATCCAAATCCATTAAAATATAAATCAGGCTGATATCTTTTCATCTGACAAATAGCGCAGAGTCCAGCCACTGGATTTATCAGCAGGAGAAGGCATGCAGCATTTCAAGGGTTTACGTGGAAATCCCTTCCTTCTCTGAGCTACTGCAGAGTGCCGGGGCTCTTGAGAACAATGGGGTCAAATCCCCCTGCAGTTTTCTGTTGGTTCTTAATTTGTTTTGGTTTTACTAGAAAATGCTCCTTCTTCATTTTGTACAAACTAGTGCTCCGATTTCCCAATTTAGCACTGAAATCTCATGTTAGCAACGGATGAATGTATAGCGCAGTGTTTCCCAACCGGTGTTCCGCGGCACACTAGTGTGCCGCGAGACGTTGCCTGGTGTGCCGTGGGAGGGAGGCGGGCGAGTCGGGCGGCGAGAGGCGGGGCGGCGGCGGCGAGGATCCGCGTCGAGCCGGGGGCGGCTCCGCGGTGATGGTGCCGAGGTTTCTCTCTCCATTCTCCCCTCACACACACACACACACACACACACACACACAGGAAATAACACAGGATCAGCTGACAGGACCCGGCCAATGGGGCGGCGGCGGGGCAGCGCGCACAAAAGGGAGGAGCGCAAAACGGCGGCGGCGCAGGGCGGGAGGGCGGCGCATTGCGCATGCTCAAACCCGCCCTCCGAGGCGCAGAGGGGAGCTGGGTAAGCGCCTTCTTCAACCACGCGCTCGTTTAAAAGTTTCTCTTTCAAAAAGGAAACGTGGGTTTCTTCCACCCCATTGGCTGAGACTCCGCCCACTCCGTCCTCCTCCCCCGCCCGCGGCGCCTCGCTCCTCAGCCTCCGCCATGTACCGCTCGCTCCGCTCCCTCCAGCGCCTGAGTTGCGCCAGGGGCGCCGCCGTCCACGCGCGCCAGAGGGGCCCGCCGACCTGCAGCCGCCACGCGCAGCCACGGAGGATGGTGAGCGACGCCCCCCCCGCTGCGCGCGCAATGGAGGGAGGGAGGGAGGCGCAAGGGCGTCAGAGGTGACCTTTGCCGGCCTCTTGCGGGACAGGCGCCTCCTGTGCGGCTGAGGGGCCCCTTCCCGCCTTTGTGGGCCTGACGCGGCCTCAGGGTTCCCTCCCTCTCTCCACATATATAAATTGGCTTTTATTATTAGCGCTTTCGCATTCCTTTTTCTCCCTCCCAGGAGCTCCAGTGGGGGGGGGCGGGCGGGGCTCCCCGCCATTTAACCCCCACAACAACCCTGTGAGGGAGGCCGGGCTGAGAGGATTCCAACCCGCGTCCGCCCCCGCTGCTTCCTTCAAGTGGCGTCCTGGGCGAGGACAACATTTGACGGCCCCTCCCTCAAATATCCCTCATTTTCGCAATAATTCATTTTGGTACAGCTGCTTTTTCCAACGGATCTGTTCAATGTTGTTATTTGCGCCCCTCTGCCGCCAGCAGCGTCCCAAATCCAGCGCTGCTCCCCTCCTTAGGATGCCAAGCACTCTGAATTGGGAAGTGGCCCCCTTGGGAAGAGGGAGGCTTGCCTCCAAGTAAAGATGAATATGAAAGTACCTTGTTTTTAAGGGCCTGCGGTGGTGGTGGCTGTTTAACATCCAAGGCTCACAACACAAAAACACAAAACTACATTACATGGGACAGTGGTACCTCGGGTAACTGAGGCTTCAGGTTACAGACTCCACTAACCCAGAAATATTACCTTGGGTTAAGAACTTTGCTTCAGGATGAGAACAGAAATCGTGCTCCAGCATTCAATTTTTTTTATAATAATCTAAAAAAGTTAACTACAGCTTTGAAACTTCCCAGGAGAGGCCGCCCAGCGCGGGGCTCTCGCCGTCTGCCTGCCTGCGAGCTCGGCGGGCAGCGCCTCCGTCCGCAGCGCCCGCCTCGCGGCTCTCATTCCCTGCCCCTGCCAAAGCTCACCCAGCCAAGCCGCGCTCTCCTTCCTGCCTCGCTTTGCTGCCTCCTCCCCCCCCACCCCCAAAGCTTGGAGGTTCCCCGGCGCCGGCCCGCAGGTTTGACCCCCTTCTCACACCTGTTCGCGCTCCTTGCACGGAATGGGGCGGATGGGGAGGAACGGGGCTCGCCGCTGCCTCCGCTCGCCCTCCCCCCTCCGCCGGCGGTCCCGCGATTCTTGGCTTTTTGGCGGTTGGCACAGAAGGAAGGCAAGGGGGGGGGATTGAAACTTACACTTTCGTGCGTCCCTCCCGGCGTGACGCTGCGCGCTGACGTCACGGGGCTGTGGTGTGCCTCGAGATTTTTTTCATGAAACAAGTGTGCCTTTGCCCAAAAAAGGTTGGGAAACACTGGTATAGCGGAACTGTCAGAGTGCAGAAAAACTTGGCAAATGGGGGGGTGTTTTTTTTTATCAGGCTACCAATCTGGATGCCCAGTGAACAGCTGCGGCCAAAAATGTGCACCCATTTAATCAGTAGATCGGAGTTATCTACAGTGAGACATGCAATGGTTACTGTATAATATGTTCTGCATGCAGCTGCCTTTGAAGGGCCTCTGGAAACTTCAGGTTGGTGCAGAATGCAGGAGCAAAAGTGCTCCCAGAAACACTGGTGTGTGGACATGTTATTCCGCTATCAGAATAGCTGTGCTGGTTACCAATACATGTCCAGATTAAATTCGAAGTGCTGCTTGTCACGTCTGAAACCCTCCATGGCTTGAGCCCAGGGTACCTTCACCCACAACATCCTGCACAAACAAGCTCATAGAATTCCATTTAGGTGAGTGTCTGAGCTGGCAAAGAAGACAGGGAGCACTGAGGTTTCCTGGCAGAGGAAATGGCTTTGCTCACTCTGTGGCCAGCCCTGAAGCAGTTTGGGCTACGGAAGGAGAGCGCTCCTCCGCAGCTTACAGTAAACTTGTATTACTTATGAGAAAATAAAGAGTAACACCCACCCACATTGATTTCTGCTTCTTACGGGCAAAGCTTCCACACTTCAGCAACGTGTCAGAATTATGCATGGATTGCAACACTATCTAGAATGGTTTAAATGACCTTTTAAAACAGGGATGGGGAACCTGTTGCCCTCCAGATATTGTTGGATTCAGTCATCCCCAGCCAGCATGCCCAATGGTCAGAGACGATGGGGGGGGACATAAGAATAGAATAAGAGACTGTTGGATCAGGCCAATAAGCCCACTTAGTCCAGCATCCTGATCTCACAAATGTAGCCAAACAGGCTAGCCACCCTGTTATTTATTTATTATTATTTATTAGGAATATTTTTTAAACAGCTAAGCATCACAACAACGGCATAGTAGTAGTATACAAAAATGAAAATGAAACAGCTAAAACAGATTTTAAAAATAAGAAGAAGAAAAAGATGCTGCTCCACCAGTAAACAGATCCTGCTGGGACAGTCTGTTAAAACTAAAAAGTTTTTAGCATCTGACACAATACTGCTTTTTACCCTGAAGTCCACAAAGTCTGAATTTTCTTCTTAGCCCTAGATGATTGTCTCTGTGGGACACGGCAAAGGCAAAGCTGCTTGTATGGCTGCAAATTCCTCATTGCACTTCCCAGTATGGTGTGTGGCTGCAGACCACATTCCCAGGTGACAATTTGGATTGGCACTGATGTCTCTGGGAGTGACTCTGAATGAGCTTTGCAATGTCCATGACTCAGGCACATTCTCTGCCAGAGGCAGGAATCAGGGGAATTTAGCATTTTGGTTGCCAAAGGATTATCAGAATTAAATAAACAGCAAAATCATAGCGAGTTTTTTTACCATGCTACTTGAAACGGTCCTTACACAATTTCTGCTCTTTAAAAAACTGATCTCTCTTATAACATCTCCAGGGGTGCGGGGGAGAGAGAGAAGATTTATTGTACCTGAGTTTCTCAAACGCATCCACCAGGTTAACCACAGAGGTGGCTGTATAGCTCTGCTCCTCCATCGTACCGAGACCTATCAGTCTGAAACTGGACTTGCCGTTCTGAAGTAATGGTCAAAGCAGGACCCACACTGAGGATGCACTGTGATTTTTTCACAGCTCAGTCTTTCTGTTGCTTGAGGTATTTCTGAATAATTTCTTTTGAACCACTGGACAGAATATTCAAATTACTGAACAGTTTGCAAGCAAACTGGTGCCTTCAGTGGTATGTAGGGGGAAACCCTTCTGGTTTACCATAAATAAGAAAAAAATATGAGGAAGTACTGAAAAACAGAACACTGGCAGAAAATGAGCAAGATTTACAAGGGTATGCAAGGAATGTAAGCCTCTTATTAAGTATATGATTTTATTTTTTAAGGAAATGTATCGGAAGTGGTCTTTTCATTTAATTCTGGCTCTGCCTTGACTCTTATTCTGGTCATGCACTGTAGCTAATATTTTCTGCTGCAATACAACTTCAACTTGCAATTCCCACCTCTCACCATCAGCAATGCAAGAAAGAAAGAAATTACAATTATTTGTGACAGAATAACTAATTACATATGTAGAATGTAAGATTTTCAGGATTTTGCTGCTTATCTCTTGTAGTCCAAAACATTTGAGGAAGGCTGCTCCAGTTTAGAAAGTATTTTCACAGTATCCTGTGCTTGACAAATTTGAACGCCAGGGGGCTCCATACAGCTACTCCAGCATGTACAATATTAGGCAATTCCCAGCTATAGACAATACTGTACATACATAAATTGGCAATTCCATTGCCTACTCTACAGACAGAACTTCCTGGTTACATCTGACACCACTGGGAGAGGAATTCTCAGAGGACTAAAAGTAGCAACTGCTCAGAGGAGACAACTGGAAAATTCAGGACTATTATAGTTTTACCTAACACACTAGAGAAGACAGTTTTCATACTCCTTCTCACTCAGATCTTCCTATGTGAGGAAAACTTGAGATTTTTATTTTTTATTTTAATCTAAAAAAGTGCTCTGCCAATGTTTTTTGCACCAGGACAGGAAGGGAGAAGTAAACTGTCAAATATTATTTCCCCTATATTGCGGCTATAAGAAGGCATGCTGAGATAGACAATAGTTTACAACAATCCTGCAATGTAGACCAGTATCACATCCATTTCTGCAGGCTGAGGCAGAGTGGCAACTCTTGCATATCCAGTTAGCAATCAGTAGGAATGAGATGGAGTTAGGTGGCAAGTGATCTCCAAGTTCCCTGCAATTTAGCACCACACATTCTCCCCATATCGCAAATTGCTATAAACCACTGTTTATTATCATGGTCACAGCCAGGATTTTTGTTAGGGGGCAGGCTTTCATTGGGAGGGGGACAGAACCTCAGATTTGTATTGATTTATATTGATTGGGGGGAGGGGACAGCTGCCCCCACCCATGTTTATTATGAACTCCAAATGAGGGTGAGACGTATAGATACTGGCTTAACAGCAACTCTATTAAAAAGACTTTAAGAAACTGTCCTGTTTTCAGTCTTTACTGGTGAAATAAATACAGCTGCTAGTACAAATCTGTGGTACAAGCACACTTGGAAGACTGTAAATTTCTGGTCAGCGCACCTTATGTGGGACACTGAAGAGCTAGAAAAGGTTCAGAAGCGTAGTATGCTTCTGAATATCAATTGCTGGAAACTGGAGGAAGGAAGAGTGCTGTTGTGCTCAGATCCCACTTACAGGCCTTCCTTGTGCATCTGGTTGGCCACTGTGAAAACAGGATACTGCACTGGATGGGCCATTCGCCTGATCCAGCAGGGCTCTTCTTCGGTAGGGCTGTGTTGTTGACACATGAGCATAGCAAATCTGCACCCCACAACACCACACCACCCCGGCCACTGTGTCTCCACGGTCCTGACTTCACCACCACCCTGTCCCAACCCCACCATGATCCAGGTGAGCTTCTGCAATGTCCATGTTAGTTAGGAGGGTGGCTCTGCCGCCCCAGGTGGGCTGCTACTGAGAAGCAGTAGGTCTCTCTCACTTGGTACAGCGTGAGACTCTTAATCTGTGTTGTGGGTTTGAGCCTCACGTTGGGCAAAAGATTCCAGAATTGCAAGGGGTTGGACGAGATGACCCTCAGGGCCCCTTCCAATTCTAGGATTCTATGAATGCCAATTGGTAGGAATCACAAGTGAGGAGGGTTGTGTGCTCAGGGGGTCCTATCTGTGGGCTTCTCATCGCCATCTGGTTGGTTTGCTGTGAGCAGAAGATGCTAGATGAGACGGCTCTTTGGTCTGATACAGGACAGCTCTTCTTCGGATTCCGGTGCAAGAATTCACACATCAAAAGCCGTCAAGAGACAGAGACGGCCAGTGGAGCAGTTGCACAGGGGTTCACTATTCAGGATGGACGGGCTCGGACTCACCACGCAAGCTTTGCGTGTCTGCAGCTGCAATCCTATGCCCACTTGCACGAACTCAGCATGACTTACAACCTGAGTAGACATGCAGAGGATTCTACTGTCAACCAACAGAAACCATCCCACGGCTGTGTTAAGACATGGGGTGCGTGCGTGGATATGCTCTCCTTCAGCAAAAATGGTCTCTTCCAACCACCCAGTCGAATGCAAGACGGCGGTTCGGCTCTTTCCACACAGACCCGCCGAGATTTTTACCTCTCGAGGAGCGTAAAATGGAGATTGTCAAACCAAAAGGCTGGGAGTCAACTCTTTGCTATCTCTATGTTGCTTATCGCCCTAAACAGCTTTAAATGGTTCCGCCCCCTTAATAAACTGGGGGCTCCTGTCGCCCAAGGGCGCCCTTGGACTCGTTTCCACTAGGTATTTGCTAGAAGGAAACATGCCTGAGAAGGAACCGGGCGCCTCCGACGGCAGCCTTCTACTCTCCCCTCTGCACAACAATGGTATCGTCCAATGGTTACAGAGATAGGGAAAGGTAGACTTCGAATGGTTCCATGGCTCTGCCTCGGGGTGCACTTCGAGCGCCATATCCCTCCCCGCTTTGGGTTGAAATGACGGCTCGAGCAGAAAACAAACACGGAATCCCGGACCCGTGCCTGGGCAAGCACGGCCAGCAGTGGCCTCAGAGGCGGATCTTCTGCGTTTTCTAATGCAGACCATGGATCAGACGGATTCCGAGCGTAACTGAGAGTTGAATTGGGGGTCGCAGAAAGGCCACTCCAACTGCAGACTGCAGTACTGGCAGCTGAAAGCCTCGCTTTCGTAAGGCTTTCTCCCTCCCTGAACACTTTTAAGGGTTCACCACTGAAAATAAAGCTTAAAATCACATTTCTTTCAAATGAAATAACATCTGAAGAAGGAAACGACCCTTTTTCCTGGGCGTTCCTGGATGGATCGCTTCTAACTAAAAAAAAACTCTTGAAACTCTGATTCATTGTTTTCACTATTCGCCAAAGCCCGCTTTCACGTCCGACCCAGGATTGGGGGGGGGGTAGCATGAAAATGAACCCGGAAGTTATCGTTATCCGTGGTCACTCTACTATTTTTCTGAGTCTATGCAAGAAAGCAGCCCTTTCTTTCTCCCTGCCGCAGCCCTTCCCCTTGCGTGATGTGATGACGTAGAAGCCCGGTGACCGAAGGGCTCGATCATGTGACGAGGACAGGGAGCTGTACGCGGAAGTGCGTTCCCTTGTTGGATGGGGGCGGAGGGGATGGCGGCTGTAACGGTGGGCCCTGGGGTACCTCCCGCAGCCGCTGGGCCAGGAATGGGGCCGGGACCGGCGGAGGGGGCCGACGCTCTCTTCGTGGCCTTGAGCGCCGGCTTCACGACCTTGAGCCACCCTCTGCTCTATGTCAAGCTGCTGGTGCAGGTGCGGTCGCATCCGAAAGCCGGTTCCGGGTGGGCAGTCTCTGTGGGCCTCTGACGGAGCAGGCAGCCCCAAGAATTTGGGGGTTGCGAAGCAGGGCCCGAAAATTCATTAGAGTTATTGGTATTTGCTGTTTATCTTGGGATGTGCCTCCCGGCATCCCTGGGCAAGTAGGTGTAGCCTTCGTCTTAATTATTGGGGCTGCCCCTAATTAGGGCTCAGTTTCCGGGTTTTGTGGTAGATGTGACCCCTTGCAACAGGTGGAGGAGGGTCAGTTCCTATAAATCAGGTTAATCTCCTTTTTGCAATTTAACTAGATATTGTAAAGAACGTTGCTGTTCCGCTTGCTGTATAAAATGACACTGTCACAACTAAAAATGGTGTGTCTGTGAGGATGATTTGGACAGTTTATCCTTCACCATAAGGGTTCAGAGTGGGTTAGAACAATGCAAAAAGACAATACTAAAATTAGCTATGAGGCCCCGGGCCTGTAAATCTTTTAATTCAGTAAAAGGTTGGTGTTGGTGAAGCTGAGAAAGAACTGAGAACAAATGGGGAAATGTACCATCTATATAGGATGTAAACTTATGAATGAAGAACACTGGTATGGGGCAGTCTTCCAAGAAGCAGATGTTGCCTGATTGGTATCTCTTTTAAAGGTTGGGCATGAACCTCTTCCTCCAACTGTCGGGAGAAACTTGTTGGGAAGAAAAGTACTTTACCTACCTGGCTTTTTTACATATGGTGAGCATACCTTAATAAAAATCCAAGGAAAGTTTGTCAGTACAGTAGTACCTCTGGTTACAAACACCTCGGGTTACAAACACTTTGGGTTACAGACTCTGCTAACCCAGAAGTAGTACCTCAGGTTAAGAACTTTGCCCCAGGATGAGAACAGAAATCGTGTGCACAGCAGCAGCAGGAGGCTCCATTAGCTAAAGTGGTACCTCAGGTTAAGAACAGTTTCAGGTTAAGAACGGACCTCCAGAATGAATTAAATTCTTAACCCGAGATAATACAAAACAAGACCTTATCTTCTGAGTAGGGATGTGCTGAATTGCATTATTGCCTTTTAAATCTTGTAGGCACTGGCCCAGTTGCATGTAATGCTAAGTCATACTGTATCTAAGCATGAATGCATGCATGAATATGAAGGTACTTGCAGTAAAAAAAAGCTGCTGCTGCTGCTCTACTTAATGTGAAACCATGGTTTGGCACTACTACAGCTGAACCCAGGCACATAGCTAGTCTCACTCCAGACAAACCATGAGCCTGGGTTCAGATATAATGCTAAGCCAAACCATGTCTTCATTTTGAGTAGCTCAGCAGCAGGACTGGGGGAGGAACAAAGTGGCTGTAATTTTTACAGTGAGTACCCACACGCTTAGCCATGGTTTGGCTTAGTACTGCATGCAGACCAGGCCAACACTCTCCATCTCATTTATATTGCTAGTCATTTTTTAACAGGAAAAAAGTATTGTCTGTGCCACAGATTGTATGGAATCATTGTTGGTCCTTGTTGACTTAGAAAGGGTTTCATGTACTGCAAAAAGTGCAGTTTGGTGTGAATAATATCTACTTATTTGAATAATGCTAATAATGTGCTGCAAAAAGTGCAGTTTGGTGTGAATAATATCTACTTATTTGCATAATGCTAATAACAACAATAATAATATTTCTTATACCCCACCCATCTGACTCGGTTGCTCCAGCCACTCTGTGTCACTTCCAACAAAATTACAGAAAGAAACAACAGCAACATACCTAGTGTTAGGCCAGAAAACCCTTTTTAATTGATAGTACCTTTTTTATTTTGGGATATCCATTTAGATGGATAAGGATTTCATCCTTTTTGTAAATTACTTTGAGGGTTTGTTTGTTTTGCAATCAAGCAGTGTATACATTTTATAAAACTATCAAATTATAAAATAAATTATTTCATTATAACAGATATTAGCTGTGAAAGTGTTACTATGAGTAGTGGTATGATTGTTGAGGGTTTTGCTACTTTCAGCCATACCACTTATGTGCTTCTCTTAGAGAAATGTTTGGCACCTATTAAAAAAAATTCATTAGCAAACTGTTTTGCATAAAACAGAATTTTAAAAGACAGATACATTTATAGCATGTAGAGAGGCAGAATGTGTATACATCACTGCATGAATCTATAATACTCCTTGCTTTCTATATATATAATGGTATAGAGCAACCATACTGTGACTTAGAATCTGGGGTTTTTTTGCTAATGAAGCTTTTTAAATGCATTTCTTTGTGATTGTTTTATTGTGTGAAGCATGACAGTCAACTGAAGAGCTAGTCAATACAGCTGTTTAATGAAGATCACTTTGTAGAATTGCTTTTACAGAAACATTTTCTCTCTTTTGAAAAAAAATACAGCTAGGAAAAAATACTGCTTTACAGCAAGTGGAATTAGTCTTATATTTCCACTGTAGCAAACAGCCATGGCATTATACTATACTAGGAGCACATTTGAGTTTTTCCTCTCTGTCTTACCATCTGATGCTTGTAATAATTTAGGCTCTATGCAATTCCTTTCAAAACGTTTTGCAGATGATAACCTGAACCCTTTGGGGTGGAAGGAGGCAACACAGCTAAGCACGAGTTAAAGGAATCTTCACACTCTGACCTAGCCCAGTAAAATCCAGTGTAACTCTTTAAGGTAGGCAGACCACAGATGAAAGATTTAGTTGGCAAAGACAGGGTTCTCCTCATTTTACAATGGGATCTTCAGTATCAGTGGATAGTCTAATGCCCTGAGACATGTTATTCCAAATAGATGTTTAGTCAGCTGCAAGTTGGAGCTTCTGAAGACTGACAACGATGATGATGTGACACCACAATCGTTTATTTCCTAGCCAGACACATTGTGGA